GGAGGCCCCTTTGTCCTATTTCTAAACGCTCCCCAGGGTAAACTCCTGGAAGAAAGGGGCTTGTGTTTGCAGCAACCCGGCCCAGCCCGCCACCCTGACTGGCACACAGTAGGCGCTCAGCGCGGCATTCACCTCTGATGTGGACAGTCGCTGCCCTTGCAGAGCTGCCAGGTGCCTCCAGCGCTCAGAACCCCTTGTCAGGCTCCAAGACCTCGAGCGCCTGGACACCTGTCCTCGGTGACCTGGTGAGCAGATAGGCTACGTAACTTTTGAGCCACAAGGCAAAAACAAAATGAGAGGCCCCTTATTGAAAAATGACCTCTCGGGCAGGTCGGTTAGCGCAGTTGGTTAGAGTGTGGTGCTGACCACACCCAAGCCCAAGGTTCGATCCCTGTACTGGCCAGCGCCAAAAAAAGAAAAACTGATTGAGGGACAGTGTAGGAAACAGGCCCCAGCCCTGCCCACTGAGGGTGAACTGCAAGAGAGTGGAGGTGACAAATAGGTAAACCGAGGCAGGTGGCATCAGTCACACAGAGAGAATAAGGTTTGAATCTGGAGTGGAAGAAGGTGAGGAACAAGACATGACAAGAGGAGAAAGACCATCAAGTGCGCAAAGCAAGCAGTGACCTAAATTTGGGCCTGAGAGCTGGCCCAGGCCCATCAGTGGCAGAGGTTCAGGACTCAGGACGCTGTGACAGGGTCTCAGACATAGGTGATGCAGTGTACCCACACCTCTCCCAGGCTCCTCCCTCCTAGTGGCACCCTGTCACCACAGGGTGACATTCAGGTCCCTCACAATCTGTCTCCAGGGAGCCGGCACTACCTCCTTCAACGCAACAGGCCAAGCACCGACATCCAGACCAGCTGCCTGCCCAGGAGCCAGGGCGCACTCCCTGTCTGTCTGGCCCAGGGAGGCATCTGCCCTATCCCTGTAAACTCTAGCGTCTCATCAACAGTCGGTGGCTGCCATCTCACAGCCTGATCAGGGGCCCCGAGTGCAGGAGGCACCTGGCAACTCCAAAAGAGTGGCTTCCGGGCTGGCTTTCCAGGGCAGTGATTCCACGGTCGCATCTGCAATTGGGAAAAGCCTCCAGCCCACGTCACACAGGGTCCCACCCTTAGTTTAATGCTCTCCCGTCACCTTTTTGAAATTCTCCTCTTCCTGGCTCCTCTCCTTCCTGTTGGGTGTAGCAGGCGCCATGATCCCTGTTTCATGCACAAGGACACTGATGCTTGGGGTTTACAGGACCTGTCCAAGAGTGCACCAGGCCCCACCTCCCAACGGGTTCCCCAATCTGTCCCAGACAGTCCCTCAGAAACTGGCCCTGGGCCCAGGAACCAGAGATGGTGAGCAGGGCCCGCTACATAATTTGTGGGACCCAGTACAAAATGAAAATTCTACGCCCTGGTTCAAAAATCGTCCAGAATTTCAAGATGGTGACAGAATAGCATTAAGCTAAGATTGGGACCCTGTGTCAGGGTCCTGCACAGGTCACACACTCATGAAGCTGGCACAAATGGCAAGTCCTGGACACCAAGCCGGCCGCCTTCCTGGGCACAGTCACCTTCTCCCTGTCTCAGGGTTCATCTGCTGGCCTCTCCCCACGCTGCTGCTGGCCACTTCCTGGGGCCCCTCCTGACCACCTACTCCACACAGTCTGTGCATCTAGGGGGTCTGCTAGACATCACATGGGGGGACATGCCCAGTACTTTCCCATCAAAGGACCAAAACCATAGAACACTTCCAGAAATGCTCGATATTGTAGAGATTTGGACACTGGCCTCTCTATTTTGAGCTGAAGAACACTTACTCTCGAAGAAAATGTAGGAGGGGCATGTACATAAGGTGATGAAATATGAGGCATAGCAGCTGATTGATGAAAACCTAACATTGATCCACATTAAAATAACGTACAAGCAGGCTGGGCAGTTAGCTCAGTTGATTAGAGCGTGGCTCTGAAACACCAAGGTCAGGGGTTCGCATCCCCACACTGGCCAGCCGCCAAAACAATAATAATGAATTAATTAATTTTAAAAAACAATATATAAGAACAAAAGTCAAGGATATGTTTGTGGCCTCCTAAGGCCTACCTCATGCCCATAATTCATCTTGCTCTGCCCTTGGGAGCCAGGGGAGAGAACTTCTGCCTCAGCCCACCTGGATTTGTCCCCACCCTGGGGTCAGGCCATGCACACTCCCCTGCCCCGGCCTCTGCTGAGTTCCTTGCACGGCCCTGCACCTTCTTCCAGCTTATCTGAACCTCCCCTCCTGTCCAGGTGAGTCCCCGCAGGACTGAAGGACTTACTCCCCAGTGCTGCTGG